GTCTGATGTTAGCCAGCAGGATATTTTTTCGTGATTTCTGTAAAGATATTCTCCCTTTACTTGTTGGTACAGATACTCAACTCTCTTCTTTTTGGCCCAATGACCGAGTTCCTTTAAGAAATTCGAAATCTTACCCTAGCGCGAAACTAACTGGAGCAGAGGAATGCGTGAATACAGAGCAAGATGATGAGACGACTTTTAGAGAAAGGACCAGAACAGAAGAGAACAAATGCAGAATGGACAGGCCCAAGGCACAGAAAACGGTGCAAAAGGTTGAAAAATTCCAGAACGACTGCATGGAGGAGGACAGGGAGGAGCAAGATAAGCTAGTGCCCACTTCAACTAGAACATTTTCTTACGACAACTTTCGCAGCTTTTTAATTCTGGCTAATGAAAAACTGATGCATCTGAAGGAAATCAAGCTTTTGATAAACCTAGCCAAAAAGGAGGTAAAATATTTGTACTTAATTATAAATGATATAGGCCTGTTCAGTTAAGCTAAAAATAGCTTTATAGGGGATCCATCTTAAACATATTTTATTTTATATATGATATGAACTCTAGAAGAAAGGCTGTACTTTAATTAACTTTTAAGGAAATAGTTTACTTAATCTCTTAGCTGATCTATGGAAAATCTTTATATGACAATAAGCACACAGAAATTATGTTTGACCTTGATATTCGGTTACTGAGATACTTGAAGCGAAGGCCTTTATCAATCTTAAGCAAATAAGCGTGTATGATCTCTAGAGATTACTTACAGCAAGAGTATTTAGGATAAAACATCCAAAAATGTTTAGCATATAGTTTCCAGGACTTATTACTAGCCACCAATGCCTTTTTGGATAGAAGTGGACCAGTTTAATCTGGATTTCAAATTGTAGCGGGATTTGAACCGTTGATGCGTATTTTGACCCACTATCAACAAACTAACAATTAGTTCGCCACATTAGCTTGTTGAAATCGATACAACTCTAGAACATTAAGTTTAAGGACAAAGCTATATCGCTTATTGTGAAAAATTTTCCAAGACTTAGTATAGGTTTAAAGAGGATTGCCTTATTGTGAGTCATACATATAGCTAGGATAATGTAGCTTTTGGAGTTAATACCCATGCCAAGAATACGAATCCCACCAGGGCGCTGAATAGACTTGGGTGAGGCTAAAATTATAGTATACCTTGGAGGAGAGCGGGACTTTGGAATACTTGGAAAAGTGAAATTTAATATCAAAATGCATACCTACTCAAATTGGGAAACTTCGCTAGCACTGTAAACCAAAAAGCGATTAAAATTGGTAGATATTTGCAAAAATCATCATATTTTCGATTGTAGTACAAATAAGCTTCGGATACAGAAACAAACTCGTTGCTGCGAAATAACAGCTAGCCATATTGATAATTGGTTAGAACGCTTGAGTGACTTTCAAGCCAAAGCTGATGCCATGGTGTGACATAAAGAAAACATAGTTTAGCAACAAAACCCTATAATTCCACAGTTTTATTAAAGCAATTTGATATCAAAACTATTCACTAATCTCTTCACGACAAAAAATTATCAGCAGATTCGTCAGCAAATAACCGAAGCTTATTTTCTGTATATAGAAGTTCTGGATTTTTAATCCATTTTAATTACCACTTGAAGGCCATTTTTATGTTGTCTGAGAAGTTTTAAACAAGTGATTTGTCTAACAGCCTCATCATCAGTCAAGCGACATTAATGTAGCATTGTAGGCAATCAACCATAAAACTTTCATTGAGATATTTGTGATCTCGAGATGCCATCAATCCTCAATTAAATATCCTAAGTTGGACTCTCAGATAATGGCAAGATTTTAGACATGACGTGTCAGTAACACTACGTTAAGTTAATGGTGACCTAAGTTAACAAATTAGGTCACTTTATATTTTTCAAGAAGGAGAAAGAGACCCTCGACTCTCCACCTGCATTATATGATGATATGGAACAAGAGGCCCTTACTCTTCTCATTATAGGCTCAAAATAGAAAGGTTACTATGGATTTGAGAATAATTATTACTAGTAAATATGAAGACCAAGATGTTGTGGCTTCTATTTTGGTCGCAGTCTCCTTTCAATGTATAGTAGTTGTTGGACCTTATTTTCGCAACTTGGTCATATTGGCACGAAGGCACAGGAGAACGCATATTGTCCGGAATCCATAGTATGCATGATAATTTCCAGAGTCAAACCATGGACTTGGTACATTCCCGGAAATTTCTCTGGCGTCGTAGCTGGCAAGTTGTAGTTTGGCACTGAGAATGGCAGGACTCACTGACGATGCTGACTACTACGGCGGCGAGACGTCTGGGAATGTACCAAGTCTACGGTCCGATTCTGGAAATTATCACGCATATTATGGACTCCGGACAATGTGCGTTTCTCTAGGTCTTTCAGCCAATATGACCAAGTTGTTAAACCAAGGTCAAACAACTATTTCTAGTAAATATAGCTTGCAACTAACATGAGTGCCAGTTGGTCACACTGTAGAAGTGACTTACGGGACAAGCTAGGCCTCTTCCATATCAAAGTTTATAGGTTCAAACATAAATTTTTCCATTACGCTCTATGACACCATTGGTATTCGCAGAAAGCAATTTTCGATAATATCAGTAAGTCTTGAACAAGAGTTATGGTTATCCCAATAATCTTGAAACCTACATCTTATGAATACAAGTAACATCATCAGTTGTATAGCAAAATACAATTTACCAGGGAATTTATCGATACAAGTTATCTACAAAAGCTAATTTAGGCCTTGGTCATACTTGTTAGCAGAGGTGGGCCAAGCGAGACTTGCTCGTCAGTGAAGCTGGAGATAAATTTTATCAAGTGATTATGTTTATTTTAAGAAGGGTTGATTGATATTGAGTTTTGATGAATTTAAGGCCCCATTTAAAATATAAAATTCTAATTATGAGCAATTTAAGTTGGGTAATTTTGAGCTTTGTCATTGGTCTTTATCACACCCATCCCCTCTTTTAGTTACAAAGGCGACCAGAGTTAGAAAAACGAAAGCCCAGAAATAGGTGATACTACTACTAAGACTACTATTATTAGTATTGCTATGAATAGTAACTCCATACCTGCCCTTCACAATTAACATTAAGCAATGCTAATGCATCGGTTTGTCCTAAACATATCGTATGCCGAATTATAATAAGCTATTTCATTTTGAAATTTCTTTCTTATTTAGATGAATATGGTACAAGAACTGGTCGCCAGCCAACTGTCTCAAGGAAGCTGGAATCAAAGGCTCTATGCTTGTTGGTTGCTACCTCTTCTGAATGGATCGTTAAGTCCTGTAATTAATTTCTCACTTCAGCTTTTGTGTGCTTTCTTAGTCTGATATCCAACCAACTTTTGACAAATAATAGTAAACAAGCTTAAGTAAGATAAATAAATAATAAGGCTTGAACTCAAACCACTACCATCAGAGACAGTCGTATTGTGCGAAGCAGTCCCCGGCTTAACGTCTTGTGGACCTGATGAATCTGTGCTAAGCTCTTGTCTGCACTGTGACAGACATCATCAGAGCAAGAATCCATACTTTGAGGAATAAAGCAAAAATATACTAAACCAAGAGAAAATGTAGCCAGCTGTAATACTAGTCGCTTTTTATGCACCTAACCGT